GTATGGTATGTTATGAAAATAATAGAAAATCCTTGGCCAAAAAAGTTTACATTACAAACGATGATAAAGCACAGTAACACAATAACATTGCAACAAAGACCCACGCGATTGGCACCAGGAGAATATGATGAAGCGCAGGTTTGCGGCAGTTAACCGACCACAGGACTGCCGTTGCTGTCATACGACGATCGCCCGTATTCATGAATCCCTGGTACATGATGGTACAGCATTAGCAGNAATTCTTGTGTTTTTGTCCACTGTGATGGATAAAAAATAAAAACCTTAACCTCGAAAAGTCTAATATTAATCATTTAAAACCACTTTGTTTAAACACGGTAACTTTCGTGTGTATATAAATTGATATGGGTACACTGATAACCATAGATAATAATATATACATGGATTTATTCAAGACGTGTGATCCAAGAGCATACTGGTTACATTTAATAAGGTGTGGTATCAACCGTTAGTGATATCGTTACTACTTTACATACTTTTAGAAAAAGAATATTGTGAAATATTTGACACATTAGTTACCTCAACTGAAATATGTTATCTGTAATAAAATAATACTATATTATATTTTTACGTAACATAATATTAATGTACAGACAACATATTGTTTTAAATATTTTACAATATCTTTTTTTCCCAAACGTAATGGTTCTGTAAAATAGAAACCATTTGCACATCAATATTGATAACGGCTCTTCTATATTACTCTACGGTATTGTTTTAAATTACATACCTAACAATTTTGAAGCTAGTAGGCATTTAGACTAATAATTAGTTTTTAATTCGAATTATTTAATCTAAAGCTTTTATTATGTGTCTAGTAGTGTTATATAAATAAAAATGACACTTATATAATATAATAGATAGTGTATTATGAACTTATACTTACTTATTTGAAAGTTCAAAATAGGTAATCAGTACCATACAAACATTATAAATATAATATACTATCTATATAAATACTTGTTGGAATATAATTAACAAAATAATAATAAACATCATAGTTCAATTTAAACCAAAATAAATAAAATGGTATAAGATGATTCCTAGTACTAAAAATATAATTTTCTGATGAAACTTTAAATAAAGTACTTATTGAAGTAAATTTGTTAAAGCTTGGGTGTGAGTACAATAATATTACAGATAATCAAAAGCAGTGATAGCTAAATTATAAANACATATACACCAAATTTCTTTATTACTCCAATAATTTAGTAAATGGGTGTACCAATTTAGATAGTTACGATTTCCTTCAGTTGACTTTAAATATGCATGTTCTGCATCAACAATTCATTACCGCTTTCCATACTATATAATTTAAGACGAACATGATTGAGTATTATATTAAATAGTTCGACGGCTCCATGATTCTCTTTGAAACTCCGATTCACACATAATCAAATCCAAAAGTCGAACTATATTTATTTAGAATCACATTGACGTTTCTCTATGCTCTGGTATAAGTCATATCGCTCCTCATACATACTATTTAAAATCAGAATTTGGATTGTGATGTTTATTCGCCATAGTAATAGAGTAATGTGAAACGTAGTTTGAATAGACGCATTCAATGCAAGTAGTGGCTTAAAAAGATGCCGACGTACGACGGAATAGAAAAATCGAATTTCCGGCAACATAAAGATGGAAGAAAACTCCGTAACAAATTTCTACGGTTGGTACCAGGAGAGCAGTAGGTGAGAGTTTATACGTAGTGTCGGGCAATCGACTGCGTGCCGGACGACCGTTACTATCGTAGAATATCCATTCGTGTTCATGAACCTCTGGTACAAGATTGCAGCAAAAATCCTCAATTGCTCGACACTGTACTGTCTGCTAAATAAAAACATTAAAACCTTAACCTCAAAAAGGTCCACCAGCTGTTAAATCGTTTGATGGTTATATTATGCGATCTTCGATTATATTCGGCATAAAATTATTGTAAATTTTTTAGTGATTTGAGTAACATTGTAATTTTATTATTCAGGTTGTCGACAATCGACAAATCAAAAAAATATTTTTATAAATTAGAATAATAATATGTTTGGTAATTACCATTCTAATCTTCTGTGGTTAAGCACGATGATTAAAAAATGATAAGAACCGTTTTCGCAAACCCGGTCTCTGTCGCACATTGATATTACTCGTTTGTGTACCATAGATACATTACTTACTGCATTATGTTAGTTATTCTTATCCCTTTTCATAACTCATACTTGACTACGAATTGTTTTAAATTATACACATAACAATATTGAAGCAAGTATTTTTACTAAAATATTAAAAGCTATAGTTTTTTAATATAGTGTTATATCAATAGCATAGAAATGATAATAATATAGATTAGATAAAGTATTTTATATTTATACCTATGTATGCGTCAACATTTTTAAATTGATAATTAGTTTCATACAAATATTATTCATAATATAAAATTTCCCATTTAAATATTTGTTGTAATGTAATCTACAAAACAACATACTTACATTACGCACTAAATTAATTTAAACCAATTAAAATAAAATGGTTCCAAGGGCATAAGGGCATACAGTATTGTATTACGAATCCAAAATTAATAGTAGGTACATATTATTTAATTTTTTTGTCCATTTAACTGCTAATATTTTATCATGTTCGACTGTATTATTGATACTTTTACAGTTTTACACCTAGGATGTCTTCAAAGTCCATGTTATACCTTTGTAACCAGGCGCTATTATTATATCAAAGGGCAATTTATTTAATTTGTTGACACTGTTTAATTATATGTTATTTACTCGTCAATAACTTTATATTACAAATTACAGAGAATTTAAATAGTAGTAAAAAAAACAACACGAAACGAAAAATGAATAAAAAAAAAGCATAAATGAATATAAAAGGATGGAACAATAATGTATTTACATTTATTTTTATTTTATTGATATTTGTTTTCTTTTTTTAATGGCGTGAGGTAATGAGAAAATCTCGGTGGGCCACGTAAAAGAATACTTGTTTTGAATCGAATTTATTCAATTCAATTTTTTTTTGATCTATGTATTTATAACTTTGGGCCGTAGAAAATCCTAAAATTTGGTAAGGTTAGGCTACATTTTCTATCCGGTGCTTCTTCGCACCATGGGTTCGCCACTGTTGTAGCGGGGGTTAGCACGTTAAATGTTGATGGATAGTAAGCCTATAATACTGCCATAGCAGTAATGTTGAAATTTGATGTCAAGGGTGACTTGTTACAAATATTAGTACTATAGTAGTAATTTAACAAAACCGTCCAAAAATTATCATTAATGTTGTAGCAATTATAAATGGTGTCCTATTTAAATTAATAGGCAATATCTCAAAATTTCACCACACTAAGAATGGAGACTATATTTTTTGCTTGTTTACATTATTTTTCGTTTTTTTTTTTTCGAGTTAATAGTAGTGAAACTAAAAATTTTCGAACGGTTTTGTAGGGAAAAAAATGTAGTTAAAACAATAATCAAGGCAAGAAAAAAAAAACCAACACGATTGGTACCAGGAGAGTATGATGAGAGTCGGTGTCGCGGCAATTGACCAACTGCAAGACTACCGCGGCCACTGCATGACATCCGCCCGTGTTCATGAATCCCTGGTACATGACTGCAGCAAAAATCTGATGTTGTCCAACAGTGTTGAATAAAAATAAAAACCTTAACCTTCAAAAGTCTACCAGCTGTTAAATTATTTGGATCAAAGATAATAAAGTAATGGATGTACCTTTGATCTAAAGAATGGGACATCCAATACCCTATTGGCTATCTCCATACAAAGAGCGTTCCGTGACGGAAGAGAACTTATGTCACCACAGCGGTTAGACAATAGTTACTAGGTAATTGATAATGACAAATGATAATATTACTTTTTTTAGGGAATATGAATAAAATTTAAATAATTTCTTCTATGTAGTATAAGTACTCTTTCACAAGGTTTACAGTTCATACGGTAATAGTAATGATAAGGTATTATCTATAAACTTTGTTACTTCATTACATTGTTTACAAATGAAAAGACAAATCTGTATTATATTTTGAAGATAATCCACAATAAAAACATTTTATTGTCTACGGTACGGACATGGTGTAGGTAGAGAAGATAAGGTAATGCCGCTCTGATATCTGTTATAGCGTTTTCACCAGAATGCACCGTTGTTACACATAAAGCGGACAGGTTATATTGTTCGAAAAACTGTCTAGTGCAGTAGAATCGTGAATCATGTGGACCCTAATCATTACAGTTATCAAGAATAAATATAATATTCATTTTGTCCAAAAAAAAAAAAAAGTTTACTAGTTTACCTATGTATTATCAATTAAAATTATATTATTATTAAAGCATGTTGATAGGCATCATTATCAACAAAAGATAAGGCGTTATCACTGCACTTGGGACAAGAGACTGGAAGGGTACGCGCATGTGAAACATAAAAACCTGCCCCAATATACTCTTTGGAACATTAAAATGTGCACTAGTGTATCAGATGGAAAACGATATTAATGCTTCGATATTGACATAAAAGATTGCATTCACCCAAAACTATAACATTCTCATTTTGATTCAGTCATCGTCATTATTTCATCTATGTGTTTCTTGAATTTCTTCGACGTTATGGGCCAATATATCAAGGCGTCTTCTGCGTATGCGCGAAGTGCTATTATCAGTCGTATCGTAATCTATTTAATAATATAATGTAATATGTATTCTTTAATCGTAATTACACCAAATATTAATAGTTCGTGGTTTAGAGATTATAAAAGATAAATGATCTTTGAAAATATCAAAAATAAACAGTAATTAGTAAAGTAAAGTTAAGTAAATTATTAAACAGTAATAGGAAAAAATGACGCCGTGACATAATCATCGTACAAACTATAAAACGATGGCAAGTGTTTTATCGTTTCATGTAGATTATGTTTGTATGCCTATTGGCTTTCTCGTAGTCTTGTTTCACAACATTTCAATTTTGTATTATTATGGCTACGAAGAAAATAAATAAATCTAATAAAGGCGGTTCCGTTTGCGCGGTACCTACTTGCGTTAATTATTCTGGAAAATTAAAACATGAAGGGAGAACTGATATTTCATTCCATAGGTAAATACTTTTTGTTCTTAGAGTATTACTTTGTACAAAACTTGTTATAATAATAATAATTATATTATTACAGTCAATCAAAGTTCACTATGATTAATTTCAAATAACCAAGCAAACACAATGAATTGATTAAACTCTTTGAGTGTATATTATGAAATTAATATTTATCAATTTTTATTAATTAAAAATAATATCATAGTTTTATAATATTATTTCTAATATTAAATGTTTATTCACTTTTTTTGTTCATAATAAATTGTGTATAAATCTGTTCCAAAGATATAAACATTTAACTTATTTAGTGTACACAGTACTCTATTAGTTGTCTATACTATATATTATAATTAATTTCAATTTATACCTTAAATAAATTACTTTAAAAGTAATAAAATTACAATTACTTATTAATTTTGTGAAATTTAAACTTTAACTGTAATGTAATTAAGTTACTTTGCATCTGAAATAAGAAACTAATATATTATTTTTTAAATTGCTCTATACTGGACCTAATTCATCTAATTTCATAGTTTAAAATTATGTCTTATATTTAGGTTTCCAAAGAACCTGGCTTATCGAAAACAGTGGATGTACAAATGTAAACGTGCAGATAAGTGGAATCCTAGCTCATCATTTATATGTTCAGATCATTTTAACACTGATGATTTCATTCGTAATTTACAAGCTGAGCTTTTAGGCTACACTCCTAAAGGGCGGCGATTAAAATTTGATGCTATTCCAACCTTAAACTTGCCGGGTCATTTTATCAAAGTCTCTACGTCAACTGCAAATCGTAATAAAAGAATGGAAACTAAAGCAGCTAAACAGGTCATTACTTATTTGTACATCATTTAAAATTTGTATTGTCTTTATTGCCAGTTTTGTGTGGTAATATAATGTACATAACCTAGTGGCTACTCGTTACATTAAAAATCATATTTGTAGCAATACATCCGACTGTTTATGTAAATTAAATTCAAAAATTTAAAATTGCCTATTTAATAATTTTTGTTTACATATTATAGGCTCATGATGAGATTATCACTTTGGCTCTTAATGCAGAAATACCTTCAGTTTTAAATCAATTACCAACTACATCCATAGATGAGAACATAGACTACAAAACTTTATACTATGATATATTAAAAGAACATAACAAATTAAAAACCAAGTTTAGTTTACAAGAAAAAGAATTGATATCAATCAAAGAAACTTGTAAAAGTAATATAAGCATTAATGAATCACTCCAGTATCAAATAAAACAATTACAGAAAAGTGTTAATGATTCAAATATAACTTTAAAACAAAGGCAAAAGACTACAACTAAACAAATAAAACAACTATCCGAAAAAAAAAGTAGAACAATAGAAATTCAAGCCAAGAAGTATCTTTCAACAATATTTTCCAAAAATCAGCTGGACTTAATGATGAAAAATAAAAAACAAGTAAATTGGACCAGAAATTAAATTTCTAAAGCATTTACCCTCAGTTACTTTAGCAAATGTGCATATGTTTTTGTTAAGAATGAACTGAATTATCTTTTACCTGGTAAATAATGATTATGTTTTATACACTTTTTAATTATTATACGTTTATATTAACAATGTATGTTTTATGTATTTTAGGATTGTTTTCATTACAGAGATGGGCAAAAAGTATAAATTTTAGAAATGGTGTTCTTGAAGACGTTCTTAAAATAATTAAATTAAATGGTGAATCTATGAAAAGTTATGAAAATTATCAGTTTTAATGTTTAATGATATTATTTAAAATGTATTATCATAACAATTGATTTTTAATATGATATATATTAAATTTAAATTACAGCTTCTTAACCCTAACATGTTTTTTTTAGAAAAAAGTATATATATTATTATTTTGTGTAAGTTTTGATGATTAAGATGTTTATTTTATTTGTATTTTTTCCTGTTAAGTTATTATATACTTAAGAATAATTATATTATTTTGTTTTGTTTTGTTTTGAACATCATGTTCAATAAGCATGAAAAAAATACAATAATTACAACACAATTTAAAAGATAGTACATTCACAAAAAAACAATGTTGAATTATTAGATTGGCGGACCTAGGCAACCTATTTAAGGGATGATTGTGGCCATAGGAAGTAAAGTGACTGGGTGGTTAATATGAAGTTTTATTTTGAGTGTTGTGTGAAAGACAAATGAAACCTAGGAAAGGATGTCTGGTGCATCTAACAAATTGTTGAAAAAAGTATGAAGAAACTGAAAGTTAATATCAATACAACAAGTTGACAAAGAGGGTATTTCAAGAATATAGATAATATAGGATTATTCATTATCATTGCTTTCGCAGCAGAAACTGGTACAGCGAGTGATCACAAGGTATTAGATAAGTATTGACTCAAACTCAATCCGCTATAGATTGTTGACATTACAGAATCCAGCAAGCCACCAAACCGAAGAAACCAATAAAAGTGACTGCCAACAGGATAACATTTGATTGCCAAATAAAATTTATTTTATAATTATTTTTGGTAATTATTTATTTATTGGCAGGTGTGAGGCTATTTGAAATCCTATATTAGTGCATTACTATGTAAGATTTCCTTTCTAACTTATCTTTAAATTTTTAACTGAGCCCCTGATACAATTTTTCCAATTTTAGCACTGCGTATAATCTGAAAACATTTTGTTTTCTTTTTAAAATTTAATTAGACAATCTGGAAGACTAAACAGTAAACTCATTATAATCATTGACGGCGCGCTATTTTGTACGACGATGACGTTACTAGACAAGAAACGGTACGGGAGGATTGAGTTTGTTTACATGACTGTGAGGCAATCTTTATAATCTATAAATCTTGCATAATATATATTAAACCAAGGTGGTGTTAAGTATTATTAATATGAATATTAAATCAAACGTATTAATTAGTCCTTTATTGATAACGGTAAAAGTGGGAATGAAGTTAAACATTAATACCCATTGTCTACGAGACGAACCACGATGGACAGAGTCCCTAACGATCATATGATAATATGATATGCTAGGATTATGTAATACTTAATAATATATTATTATAATTAATCTATAATATACGATTCTAACAAGGTTGCAGACGAAGGAACCTATTTTGCTGACTAATGAGATTTCCGATAGCGTTGTTCTTCTCGCGCGTTTAATCGCTGTCCGCAAAGCTGTTTTCGAGGAAATTCTTTTATCGTATTTTAATTATTATTGTGTCGATCCGGCCGACAAGGAATCCCTAAATTGGGATTAATAATAATCGCTGCCTGAATCGTATTGTCATTTCTATACTCATATACCTGTTTGAATCCGTGCCTGACTCATCGCTCAAAAAATCACCAGGGTCTGATTATCTTTACTTCACTTATTCTCAAATCAATATTTAATCTTTTCATTTCTAGTTTTAAATTTTCAAAAAGCTAAGATTCCTCTGGGCTTATTTTATCCCTGAACCCGGACAGCATATATCTTAGTCCATGGTAATTAGTTACCTAAACTACTGTGACAATCTTTCATATCAGATTACCAAATAGATTATGTAGCATTTAATTAAATGAAACTAGAAATTAGTCAATTTCGTTTTCAACCCAAAAGCACAGGTACAAGACTATAAAGGTAATATAGACATAATAAAATATAAGTAGATAGGTAGGTAGATAAGTTAAAGGATGCAACTGTCATTAAGTTGTATAATGTATGGGGTACCTCAGTGGCGCCCAAACTATACTTTGAGTGTAACAGTACAGCTTAGTAAACTGTCTTTACGTAATTTCATTAGTAAGACAGTAAGTACAACCCTATATTTTTTTTTAATAACGATTTAAGTGTTTTCGCTTATTTATATACTAAATAATTTAGAAAAAAAAAATAATAAAAAATTTGTATGGGCAATGCTGGGCAGGACAGCTAGTATATGTACATTAAGTTTTTTTTTTCTATGGACAACTTTTCTACTAGCAATTTTGCTCCAATTTATAATGATAGCAATTTTTCTAAAAGGAAATTTCACTGGAGAGGTACTATACAGAGGTCATTTTTTATTTTCTCCAGAGTTTTCCCAGCAAATGTGAAAAACCCGAGAAAAACTTAGGAAAACCAGACAAATTAGTACAACATTAAACAAATATTATTTAAGAAAATATATAAAACCTATTTAATTATTTGACTATAATATGGCATATAAATTGTTGACAATAAACTATAAAGCATCATTATCAAGTAAACTCCACTCAGAATTGTTTTTTTTTGTAAACAATGGTTTATCATTACTTACAGGTATACATTAAATTACCTATAACTCTACAATTCTAGGACGTCTATTTTTAATCTAAGTTTGATGAAACACAAACTGTTTTTAAGATATTTATTAATTCACGGCAAATTATGAAGAACAAAACCAATGTTTTAATTACTTTCACTATCAAGTTCGAAATCTAAATGATTTTCAGTATTATTATAATAACTTGTGATACCTAAATGAAAATGTTCCTATTTTAATTAACTTATTGCAATATAGTTTACATTATAATTTTACTGGTTAATGTAGTTTTTTTCATAATGATCATAAATTCTTTAAAGAATAAAATCACAGAGTTCATAAAGTTGCACAACACCACATACACTATTATTATTTTACAGTATCATTTTGTTGTTGTTTTTTTTTTTTTTGATGTTTTGATTGGTCTATAAAATACAAATATTAGTATGTAAATTAAATGTTATAATTGTTATTACATTGTCATACAATTTAATAAATTACCCTTTGATAATAAAATAGCAACTAGGGTTTTAAAAGCAGGATATAACATGAATTTTGGAGACATTCTTATCATAAATCCTCAATATCCATATTTTGTCATACAATTTTAGCAGTAATTGTTTAAAGGACCAGAAAATTAAGTAAAAGGTCGAACCATCATTTATTTTTGTTTTGCAATAATGCTTTGTGTGACCTTTCTTTTCGCATAAAATGCAATCTGAAACAAAATATTTATATATTAATTGTAGTACTAAAAAATAGTTTTCTTGATACATTTTATCATAATAATTTATTAGGATAATTTATAGGATAATTATACCAGCTAATAAAGACTTTTTAAATTGAAGATAATTTTCGAGAGGAACAGAAGGACAATGTATAGTTTCTGTTACTTTTTGTTTACTTTAACTTAAGTTATATTTTATTATGTTAAATATTATTATATCTTATATATAAAATTCTAATGTCACGTGTTTGTGGTTGTACTTTTCTGAAATGGCATGACCGATTTCAATGAAATTTTTTGTGCATATTTGGTAGGTTTGAGAATAGGTTGTAAAGTATTTTTCACCCTTTTACCCTCACCCACTATTTTTTAATCGTAATTTTAGTATTTTTGCTTATATATATATCCAAGAGCATTTTCTAATAATTTAGCTTATAATATAATATATACAATTTTGTTGTTGATTTGTGTTACACTAGTAACAGAGATGAAAAAAAAATGGCAATTAATTATTATTAGAAATTAGTCGGACAATATTATGTGATCATCAAAATCGGTTCAGCTGTTCTTGAATTATAAATGATGTAACTAACCAGACTTTGTTTTATTTATTATTTTTGTTTATTCAATGGTTGCCACAGAAAAGAAAACTATTATAATTATTATTATTACTATTATTTACACTATTTAAATTTCACACTAGAACACATTTAGTCTCATTTAGCCAAAGGTGAACTACCCACTTTCTACCTAATTGTTTTTATTCATTTATAACATGACCAAAACCAAAAATGAATATGGATAAAATAGTAATAATACAAATTGGTATGTGCAACGCCAGGCGTGGGATAGCTAATATTACTATAATATTACATACTGCAATATTAGAAGAACCGTATTCTATCCATAATTTATTATTAAATAAGAAATAGTTTGATTTATTGATAAAAATTATACTGATAAGTATATATGTGATAATCGTTGGTGAAGTTCAGTAATACATATGTTAAAAAAAAACCATAGGTAATTTATAAAATTGCCATCAAAATTTGATTTTAAGACTGTTAAATTTATTAATACACTATCTAACACTCAATTATTTTTTTATCTAACTATTATATAAACTAATCACGAATCGTGAATATAATTTTCAATTATTTTTTGAGTAAAAATGTATTAAATTTTATCCACCGAATAAACAAAATTTAAACAAATGGGTAGCTTGATTTTGCAAACAGTTACTTAAGACATTTCAACATATACTGTAGCTGTTAATTGCTTGCATTGAAGGTTTTGAGATCTTAAAATATTTATATTAAATAATACTATATAATATTATATAAATACTTATTACTAATTAAATTATATATTTTATTCATACATAATTTAAATTATATCTGTAAACAATGATCAATCATTGCTAACGAAAAATGAATTTATTTACGATTTTCACTTAAGTTTAATCTTAGAACTGTGAAAAAAATAAATAATAACACTACTTAGTACAATATAGTACAATTTTTTTTCCCAGTATAAGTAAAACTCATTAACAGTGCTCAAATTGAAGAGAACGCAGGGGGACTGTACCACAATTAGATTTTCAGAAATATAAATGTACCTACCTCCACTAATTATTATTTAAGTGGAACACATGGGACAGTACATATTTTTGCATTTTTATCAGAAATTTATTTTCATTTAAGTTATACTTATTAATAAAATACAAATTATCAATTTTAAATTTTAAAAATTATTATTGTATCTCTTGTTAGATATGTTGAATTGCAATACAATATTATAGATAGATACCAGGATCCCACGGCATGGATCAGTGTCAGTGGTAGTTATAGTATTTGTTGCCCATGAATGACAAGAAAAAAAAAGTGATACTGTGGATGGGTATGTCACTGATATAGGTAAAAAGTTGAAAAGGTAGGATACATAGTTATTTAATTCTAAACATCATACCTAATAAAAGGCAATTCTGAGTAAAATTTGTTTATACAAAATTCATAAGGCTGTATGTATTTATGATTTTCCTTAAAACTTGATCCTAAAACCATTCTAAAAAAAAAAACCAGTTGCTACAAAACACTCAATTTAACCAATAATACCACTATATATAACTTATAATGAATTTCGTATTAATATTTCAATAAAATAGCCAAAATTATACTACATTCAGAAATTCAAATTTAAATTTTTTCAGTTAAAAGGGGTGAGAGGGATTTCTAGCAATCTCAATTTAGAAATTAATCTGAATGAAAGCTGATGACAATTCTTTAAACAGATTAAACAATATTATCTATTAAAACCATCTTATTATTGAACTTAAAATTGATAAATTCAATTTATTTTGTGTGTCAGTGTACTTTTTTACACAACTTATATTAAAAATTTTAAAAGACAGTTCAGAATTGATTTTTTTATTTATTACTTAACTAGACTTTTAATACATTATAGAATATATATATTTTCTTTTTAATATAAAGACATTGTATACAAATTAGACAGACCTGGATTATTTAATCCAAAAAATATTTTCTAATGTGTATTATCACGTGTAAATTAATTTTTTAATGACCATTTGATATTAAACATTGTAATACTAATACAGCAACCTAACTGGTATCACTATTATATATACTCTTTATACTCATATTGTTGAGCTTTTAAGATCTTTTTTATTCAGAAAAATGCTTTTAGTTTTCGTTGTATTTCTAAAGGTCTTAATGCATTATTATCTCAGAAACCTCACCATGCTATTGAACCATATTTTAAATTTTTATTAAATATTTGCATACTATGCAACTGATTACAGTAGGTACGCATAAGTTCTCTAAGTAAAATGTTATTTAGTTAGTACATTATAAAAATAACTAACCTCAAACTTATAAATCATTAGTACTATACAGTAGTCACGAGTTTATTTTTATTAAAAACAATTATTAAGTGAAATGGTTGGAAGAATATTTTTGTACATGATGTAATCGATATACATTGTGTACCACGAATACGTCTTAGACCGTGGCCCATTTGTTCCTACATTGTTTCAATCGCTAGCTATGATTTAAAGATATGTAGCGATAAGCATTGAAAAATAATTAATCAAAACTATTAATTTGTTGTAATATACATACCAATACAATATAATATAAATGCAAAGTCGTCCGTCGATCCTCTTGATCGAATAAAATTACTGTGGTAAACTATTAAAGTATTAACTGATGTACAGCTAGAATAAGCACTGAAGAAAGTTCCTACTCAGTATTTGGCAGTAAAACTGATAAGAAATAAACTAAATTAGAATTAGAAATAGAAAACTCAAGAATTCTATACTGGGATTCCTAATTGGAAAACAACATACGTACTGGTGCAGTGCCCGAAAAGATAAGTAGGTAACGAGATTATTTTAATGAAATTCAATTGGACGGTATCCCGAGTAAACTGGTAATATATTATATAGATACTGTAATAATAAAAGTCTATACCATTATTAAACTCAATTATAATAGTAGAATATTATGTTCTTATTATTATTATTTTTGCCATGGTCCCTCCTAGAGTCGCCAACGTTTTTAACTTCTCATCTAAAACAGTGGCACACCCGTTCCCAGTTTCAAAACTTTTCTTTTGATTTTCCAAGGGGATTTAAAAATAATTGTGAAAAACTAGAAACGAAATTTGGCACAACTTATATTGGCCTTCATTAGACATAAAATTCGCCTCCTTTAACGCACTTTTGTAAGCCGTGAAACGACAGTGGTATGTATGGATCAAACCACTTATTACTTTGCGCCAATTATTTAATATAATTTTGACCTACTATCACGCTTATTAAATAACACGGTCTATAACTGTTTATCATAAACGTCTGATTTGATTTAATTGTTTTAAAAATCTTTAACAAAGTTGAAGTTGTAAGTGCATGAACTATGCTATTACTAATTACAAAAACTAATAAATTACAATAATTAAAAATATTCCAAATTTTAACCTAAGTTACCAAAGCTTTGAAAAACATTAAAATAATGTGTAACAACATTTTCTATGTACCTACTTTTTAATGCAAATTAGAGATTCTTTCTCTAATGCAACCTCATCATCATCAATACTAAACAATTCAATCTGTAATAATATAAAATGCAATATAATAATGATTTATTATTAACTGGATATCCTTATCTACTACCTTGTGACAAGGACTTTGGTATCATTGATATTGCATTTTGATATAAGCATAGAAAACTGAGGCACTCAAACGACACGTCATGTCTTGTCTACACGATGTCCCCTTTAATTTTCAAAAATAATAATTTTTATTTGGCCTTTGTTGAACGTCTGAATAATAAAATTGCGATGCTATTCAAAACACTTTTCAAAACAATTCTATAATAATAATCTGAGTTCCTAAATCAATCTGTCAATCCAGCGGATTACTCAGCAGATTGATTGAGTTTAGGAACACTCTTTTTGAAATTTAGTTGGAACATATTAGTTAATACTATTATTTAAGGTTTCCACTAGGCGATAATCTCCAATATTTTATTTTAATCATTTTTCATTATTTTCATCTATAAGTATAAAACATTTGATTAAAAGTTACGATAAAACATAATGTAGGATTAAATTATATACAAATCGAATCAGCC